GGTATCGAAATCATTTTCGTAACTACTACTTGAAGTACTAACTACTAGTAGTACTATGTAGTACCCAATAGGCTGCTAAACCAACTACTACTCTGTTCCATATCTTTTGCAGCATATCATATTTTCTTACTTTTTATCTTAGCTTTTGTAAGCATCGGTAATTTAAATACATACTTGTAGTTTTTATACTTATAATAGAAATAGTATAATAAAATAATTCCTAAATATTAAGGATGAAAAACCAGCAACTTGGATGCCTTTGTCGACACCTTTGCAGGAAATCAGAAGTCAAGTGCTGCAATCATTATGGAACAGAGTGGTATCATGTTACTACCTCTGTCCCACTTATATTGCTCCAGATCACTTTTTCAGGATTAATATTTCAATCAATTCAAGGCTTTGTAGTAGACATAGGTACGCATTTAAATACTTCCTCTGTCCCACATTTATATGCCTTACGAGTTGTCATCGACCCCGAAAATTAATGTGTTAACCAAATTCGATGCATGATATCATTTTAAAAAGACAATAAAAACTACAGGTACCATGCATTGGATTGTAATCGCCGAAGCAACTTCTTCGCGCCCAGAATGAACATCGAATTTCCACCAACCGAATAAAATTACACCACATGTTCAAACCAACACACTTTTGAATTTGCCGCCCTGGTCAATCAAGCCCCCCGCACGCGTAAGGACGTCTCCAGCAGCAAGAAGGCTGAAGTAATCCAACAACTTCATTACTTTCTTGTTAATGGCAAGTTAGTCCGTGGCGCATTCACAAGAACTGCTGAAATGCTCGACATCGAACGCCGCAGTGTAGCCTATATCTGGGACACGTTTTGTACCCGCGGTACCCTGACGTCCAACAAGTGCGCCAAGGTTGGTCCGAAGCCCAAGTACTCACCCGACGACATCCGGAACCTCGTACGTGATGTTCCCATGGACCAGCGATCGACCACGAGAGACATCTCCGCTGCCACTGGTCTCTCCATGGGTACACTCAGCCGCCACCTGAAGATGGGAATCTTCGTTCGTCGGTCGACTCGAATCAAGCCGCTCCTCACGGACGCTAACAAGGCAGAACGCACTGCATTCTATGGGATGTGGTCCATTTGGACGAAAAGTGGTTCAATGCCGACAAAGATCGCCGCAAGGTGTACCTGGTTCCCGGCGAGACCCCTCCGCAGCGCCGAATGTCCACTGCGCTCCTCCGTCCTGCATGTCCTCCACACCCTCCGTGCCCCAGCCAACTACCAGCCATTTTGGACCAAGTACCCTTACTCCCTCCACCTTGCGCCGACCTCCGCGGCTGACCAGCGTGCCTAGCGTTACCGACGCGATGGTGTCAAGTCCTGCGTCAAGACCAACATATCAGCCTGCCTCAAGACAGCATGGTGCCCATCACCTTCAAGATGGTTGTTCCAAGAACGTTCTGCGGCCCATTACCCTCCCGTCCCTCTCATCAAAACGTCTGGCTCTCTCACCCACCCACGGATATTTATTGGTACCCCCACCTATTTATTGAAAACCTCTCAAAACCAGTGCCACCCTACGCACATGCATTTGCATAGGCATAGGCATTAGGAATTGGATGAGCCCATTGGGCAATATTAGGATTGGGATAAAACCTAATATAGTCCTATTTGACACTGATATTCAATGTACTATCTCGAAACCACACACGTCGCCCAGACTGCTGTTTGGTCTTTTTCTGTCCCGCATTTCTTCCGCATTTTGGACATTTCTACAGTTATGATTCTCGGACATTACCACTTTAAATGTAAATATACATTCCCGCTGTCGAAACCCTCGCTTGTCTCACCTAACGCAACCGCCAGCAAAGTGGGTTTACATCTTTGGATGGAAAATAGTCGTATATACGTACGACTGATGAGCCGTCCGTCGACCGATGTGTGCATATCATATCGATCCAAAATACCCAGCACTACCACTGTTTCCAAGTGACTGCCTACACGTGCCGTTTAGATGACTC